GCACAAAGGGTTTCATACCTTTTAAATTTTATAACAAAACTAGAAACAACTTTTCTTTCGGCCCCCCTCATGATTGCAGTCCATATTCGGATTACTGTACATCAATATAAAAGGAATTCGAGAGAAGATCCGTTTATTCTCGGCGGCCCAGTTAAATGTTCTAGTTATTTTACCTACTGATATTTTTGCTTAAGATAGTTTCAAAATTGTTTTTTAGTACTCTTTTACGTTTTGTTAATTTGAATAACGTTGTGTAATTATCCTTGTGGCGGACAAAGAGACCGGCGAAGAGGTCAAAAGAGCGAGTTGGGTTGTTCCTATTCACATAGTTCCAGCTAAATAAGATATAGTCATGAGTAGAGGCACGCAATGCCATTTTAGTATCAAATACTGCCAGCGGTAAATATGAACTGAAACAATTTTAAAACTTCCCTGTGGATAAATATAAAATATACTTCTGGGCAAATATGCTGCACTTTTTGTCGTGAGAAGTCCGAATTAAGGTAGGAACTTTAATACAATAATCTGTGGAACACAGGATTAAATTGGTGTGCATTACCTGTTGATTATTTTGTTTTTAATGTAAGGATTTCCCAGATCAAAGGGAGCGACTTGTGGATTCATCAATTTATATTTAAATTTTGTTGTGTGTGTGTGTGTTTCTTTTTAAGGTGGTATTGAAACATTCGATTACGAAAGGCCTTTGTGTTATCAGAAGGAGCCAGAGATGCTTTAACGTTCTTTGCAAAAAAAATACAGGTTACTGTTTTCTGCTGAAGATGAATTTTTTCTTTTACAGTTAATGACAGCGACACTTAATGCATCTGGTAATATTTTGAGATTTCAGAGGGCGCGATCATGAACAACTAATTTGAAAACTATGTGCTTTATTTATTCTTTGTGTCAAATTGATCTGGTTGTTAATTAAGCTGAAACACAACACAAAATTAAAAATATCCTGCGGGAGAATAGAGAAACCAAAGATTGCAGTATAAAGTCTATAAAATATTTGAGTATTGAGTATACCACAAACCAAAAGACCGAAAAGTTAAAGACTTTTTATCAGACTTGAATGATCTCATCACTCATGTTCTGTGCCAGTGTTATCTAAACAGTTCTCAGGACGTGTATTTTAATCATTGTGATAGGCTCTAAAAACTAGACAGTCGGCTTTGTTGTTTGGCTACTATAAAAGTCTCAGAGAACGATAAGAAGAGAATCGTTTATGTTAGCCGAGTTGAATAAAAAATCACTCATTCACCATTTCTCAGCGCTGGAATGTGTTACGTTTGCCGCTCATTGACAAGAAATTCGACTAGACGACTACTGCTACGTGCCTTAAATTTAAGCTTATAATTGGCTTAACATTTCATTTGCTAAAGAGCTACTTTGGCACTCTTTTTACGAGTTTAATTCCTCTCGGGTTAACCGCAAAGTTCATTTCAGTCAGCGTAGAATAAACAGACACTATACCGTTTTTACATAAAGGAGCTTGGGGACGAATAGATATTTCTTGCGCACGGTTGCTAATTTTAGCCCCCAAATCTCCAGGCAGGAAATGCGCTGATTGGAGAGTTCGTTAAACTGTAGTATTTTAATACTACAGTTAAATAATTAAATAATGATTCGTTATTTAATTGACCTGGACTTTAGAAAGAAACCGACGATTGAATAAAAGGTTAATAAACTGACTTGAGTTGTGTAACTGTAAAACAGCTTACCCCAGTCACTCATCATATCAAATGTGATTAAGCTTGTTTTAGCAAATCTATGATCTACTGACACGACAAATCACCACACAACGAGATAAATATATCATGGGAAACGAAAATAAACACACTGCACTAAAACAGGATGACTAAAAAACAGATTCTTAACAACGCTGGCTTTTAGATATCTATTTTAGACGCGTGAAAAATTGCACCTCAGTAATGCGCCATTGCTCTTATTACAGAATACTTCAAAAGCCCCCAAATCGTAATGAGAATGCAGTATTTTTGCAACTTGTGCAAAACATCGATGACGAAGAACGCACTCTAAACTGGCCGAACTTTTGCAAATTTTGCTCAACATCATTCGTTCAAAGATGGAAAGTGAAGGATGCTTAGATGATGGTGAAATATCCAACTTTACAATACCAGGCGATCTATGGAGTTGTTTTTCTTGCAGCAACCCATTGAGGGTAGCTTTTCTACGTATCTACCCGTTGCTAGCATTCGTTGCTGGAGTAGTATATCTCGCAATGGGATTCGTTAAAAATAACTTGAAATCCGAAGGTGTAAGAATGGCAGGCGTCAGTTTGGTTTATTTCAGCGTGCTTTGGTTCATTTTGGGGAATTTCGTGGACTTTTGCGTCAAAATTTATGGCAAAGATCTTCATGAAACTGAAGAAGGAAACATTGCGGCTGCTTATCAGACAGAACTAGCACTGACTGATGATATTTCGGGAGGGAACTGAGCTGGATACGAAAGTTTATCGAGAAGAAATGAAACCTGAACTCTTCGCCTTGTTTTTTACCTGAAGATTTAGATTACGATAACCGTTATCATTGAAGGTAAAACAAAACTAATGGATATTAAAATACAGTAAAAACGTTCTCTGGCCAAAAGTTTTAGAAAACATAAGCTTTCGGCTGCCGATCTTCACCTTCCAAGGATAAAATGATGAAATGTAAATTTGTAAAATATACACAAAAAGCGAGATAAAGGTGATAAGAAGAACAAAGTAAAAATATGGAAAGGGTAGCTATTGTTTAAAAAGAATGCTATACTGATTAGGAATCGGCTTTGAGTTATTGTCCGCATTCTTGATAGCAGAGGTATGCCAAGCCTCCAGAGTTTCTCTAATACGAAAAGAGCATTTGTCGATAACTCGAGAATGATTCAAATCATTGCGATTATCAAATGACCACGCATGTTTCATAATGTTTGACCAATTAGCACATGTCTTTACATTCCTAAGGCGTTCTTTCTTGCGGGTTTCAAAGCAACGGCCGCGGTTTCACCTACGTAACACTAGTCACAATCGACACAGGGTATTTTATAAACCACTTTGGGTTGGTGTTCCGAATAGGTGGTCTGAATTTAGGGGAACGGAATTCTTGTTGCAAAGTCTTAAAAGGCTTATTTACAACTCGACTATCGTGCTTTCGAAGAATCCTCGTTAGCGGTTGCGTAACACCATTGATAAAAGGAAGGATAGCAAAACCGTTAGAGTTCTCTTGAGGTTCAACCCATTTAAAAAACATGCAAACCAATTCTTCAGGTGAAGGGATGACATGTGTGGATGGTTTGGAAAGTTTCCGCTTTAGGGTATTGGAGATAACAAAGGAGGGATAATTGTTGGCTCGTAGAGTATCAATGACATGATTGATTTCAGTATTTTTCCCTTGGGGTGTGCTTATGAGTTTAATTGCGCGGTGTAGAAGGGTCTCAGCTGTACTAATCGTATGGCGTTTGTCGTGGTGAGAAAAAAAGTCTAAATATCTGTCAGTATGAGTTAATAATTCATTATTTTAATATGTCTCATCCTGGCTGCGCCTCAATTTTCAATACTAATGGAGGTAACTGTCCATGTAATATCGTGCCTAGATCCTACCGTGTACCTCTTGGCCGTTAATGGTCTGGGTACTAGACTACTGTCTATGTAGATGGAACAGAAGTGGGAGTACAGTATTTTGTTGTGACTGGATTAACAATGTGAAGCCAGTAAAGCCTGAAACTTAATCCCTTAACTCTCCTCTACTACCACACATTTCCTTGTAAATTAGCAACGAAAATTTGCTGTGAGATCAAGATAACAACCTCTACCTGTACCTGACAAGTTTGAGTATTTTCATATGCTGTATGGAAATTATTAGGAGAGGGCAGTCAGTTTTTAGACACTAGTGACACTAGTGTGCGATTTTCGAGACAGGTTTCTGCATCTAACCTCTTGTGTCTGATTTGAGGCACTAGTATCTGATCTCGGACATTACTGTTCGTTTTTGGACACTAAAATCTAAGTTTAAAAATCAGTTCCTTATTTCGGACAATGGGCTCTGAAATTGGATCACTGGCGCCTAATTTCAGACAGAAAAGTCAGGTTTCGGACTCAAGTGTTTGAATTTAGACACAATTGTCTGACTGGAGACACTCATATCTGATTTTAGACACAAGTGTCTGATTTGAGACACTTGCATCCGATTTTAGACACAAGTGTCTGCTTTTGGACACGACTGTCAGATATTCGACGCCAGTGTTCGATTTAAGGTACTTGTGCACTGGTGTCCAATTTAAGACACTAGTCTCCCATTTTGGACACAAGTGCCTGCTTTTAATTACTTATGTCCGATTTTGGTCACGAGTTTCTTATTTTAGACACTAATGTCCAATTTCGGACTCTACTGTTCGCTTTGGGACACTGGCGTCTGAGTTTGAAAACCAGTGTATCATTTCGGAAGTAGGTTCTGATTTTGATCATTGGTGTCTAATTTCAGACACTAATGTTGGTTTTTTAGACGCTAGCGTCTGATTTCGGACACTATTGTCTAATTTTGGATGTCTTAAATCTATTAAATTTTTTTAAAAATCCCCTCTCTTTTTCCTTATTGCTAAATTAAAAACTCAAAATGTTTTTTTTAAATACTTGACTTCAACACTTGCAAGAGCGTGTTCGAATCTCGTCGAATCCTGCACTTTTTTTGTGTAATTGCATTGAATGCAGCTGATCTGCGAAGACCGTTTCATTACTTTTTAGAACATAGCTAGCAGAGTCGCGCAATCAAATTCATCAAACGCAAGCGTGCTCAAAATCTCGTTCTGCTAGCTATGTTCTAATTGTTAATTAAAAAAGAATTAAAAAAAAACAGTCGCCCTCCTAAGTGAACGTTTTTATTTAAATAATTAAATTAAAATTAATTAAAAATCGTAGAAGAGTCAAAATGTGTTCCCTTGCTTCTAAATTCAAAATACTCATGTTTTGAGATCTTTTTTGAATATTTGACTTTCATATTTGATTTTTTTGCAGCTCCGTTTTTCTTCAAATGAGTAAATTCAAATCAAAACAAAGCACAGATATGGTCATAACACGACTATGGAGGTTACGATTTTAATACCTATTTTAATCAATCACGTCACTTAACTTTTCACCTACGAGCCGACATCTGCTCTCACTGATTAAAGAGAGGCTTTTGTTGCGAGAAAATATTCATTAATTTTTTATCTCCTCTTTTATGGCATAACCTGTCTGATTTATTTGATACGGGATTAGGAATTTCGTGGCCGCAAGCGGCAGGTGGACATGTGTTTTAAAACAGATGGATCGACAGATTTGTTCGATTAAACGTGACCGGGGAAAGCAAAAACCGCTCATTCGGCTCATTTGAAATTTGGCCGGTAAGGTGTCAAGCATAATTCGAACATTTTCAGGGTTAAACCAAATTTTAAAATGATAGCCTCCGTACCAAACACCTGTGTTTTAAAACATCTCTGGCTGATTTGTGGCCTACAACAATTTAACTTGACGTTTATCTCGATAAATTTTTTTGCGTCATAATTTTCGAGGCAGAGTGCGTTTTTGTTGATGGGTGATCAGTTAAGATGGTTTCTCATCGAGCGACGTGAGGAAGCGATAAGGAAGCTAAACAACCCTTCAACAAAGATGTCAAGTGCATACTAGTTTTTGTTTTCAACGTAATGTTTATAACGATTGTCTTATGTAAACAAATTCTAGGGGAACGAGCATGTTTCTTATGAAAATCTCTTGATCTTTCATTGGCGATATAACTTTAAGACCAACATCACGCCTTAAAGTGTTAAATTTCAAAGTTCTAATTCTACCCTCTCGGATATTGATTCATACACGTTCATCTGGAACACCTTCTAAAATACTGAATTTGAAAAAAGCACCTACAGATTTTAGCATAAGTTGATCGCGAATGATCCATGTAAATAGTGTTCATCCGTGTTCATTTTCGTTCCTTTTTCGTTCATTTTAGAACTTTTCTTCCTGGCTAAACTGACATTTAGTGGTTCCCTGACGCCAACCTTAATTTCCCACACGTAGAAAACGTGACGCACGTCCTTAAATTGTAATTGTGACGTTTTTCCGCAAGCCGTGACATGTTTATCATTTGAATGCATTAGCGTAGGAAACGTAAATAGAAACAAAGCGTATGAGCATTCAACGTGCGTATTCTATACTATTTCACAGGATCTGTATAAAAGGCGAAGCACAAAAATAAAATAACACTTTCAGTAAGCCGCAACATTACCAGAGAGCGTTGTGTTACTCAATCCAACAAGTGTCACGCTCCTCCTACTGACGTAACCTTTGTAAGAATAATGGCAGTGTCATGGTCGCTCCAGATGTGCGAAATGTAATTGTTTAGTTGCTTGTCTGAAAAATTTCCCAGACATCACTTTAGAGGGAGAAATGGAGCTCGGTTTTCCAATTGATATAATTCTGTTCTTTACATCTGCTATTATTGGATTTTTCTTCTATTCCATCTATTTTCGACCGAAGGAATCACTTCAAACTTACAAGGTGATATCGAAAAAGTTCAGAGGTTCCACTTTGTGTAGGACTTTCGGCCTGAATGAATTTCACGCTATCAAGGATAAATTTGCAACGGTGAATGAAGTTTCAATTGCAATTAAAAACGCTGGTTTAGAGTCGAGCAATCTTATCATTGGTATCGATTTCACGGCCAGTAACGAATGGCAGGGGAGGAAAAGCTTCGGCGGACGGTCACTGCATCACGTTTTTAGCAACACCAAGAGGTTGAACCCATATCAGCGTGTTGTGCAAGTCATTACCAAAACACTCGAACCGTTTGACGAAGACAAGCTCATCCCAACATTCGGATTCGGTGATTCCGTGACTAAAGATCATAGCGTGTTTAGTTTCAACGAGGACGGCACCCCCTGCAACGGGCTGTGCGATGTTTTGAAACAGTACACCGAAGTTGTTCGCCGGGTTTCTCTAAGTGGCCCGACTTCATTTGCTCCGATCATCAACAAAGCTATAGAGATCGTCAAGCAGGAAAAATCGTATAACATTTTGGTGATAGTAGCAGATGGTCAAGTTGTTGAGGAACACGAACGTAGCACAAGGGATGCGATTGTAGAAGCTTCGTATTATCCGCTTTCGATCATCGTTGTTGGGGTAGGGGACGGTCCTTGGGATCGAATGCACGAATATGATAATATGCTCCCGCAAAGACGGTTCGACAACTTCCAGTTTGTTGAATACGAGGCTGTAATACACAACGCGAAACATCCAGATACTTCTTTCGCTCTACATGCGCTCATGGAAATACCAGACCAATACAAGGTTCTAAATGAATTGGGATTGATCAAAGCGAAAGCCAAAGATGATTGAAAGATGAAAATAGTTTTTCATCTTCACTCAATTCTGATGTTATTTATTTTACGCTGTGTTTTTCTTCATGAAAAATGGATTCTATTTATTTACACTTACATTTGAGAGCGTTTGAATCATACATTCAAACAAAATTGCAATAGCTTTTAAAGTTTCTCTTTCTAAAGATTTGCTTTACAAATTCAAGTTCACCGTTTTAGTCTAAAAGATAAATATAAAATACTAAAATACTGTTTCGTCTCCACCGGAAAATACTCGGAGAACGTGAACTATAGTTTTAAGGTTGGGAGTGTTTTACTTATGTTTTTCGGGGGGAGGGGTAAAAGGACTGCTGTTATGACCCCTCAAAAAGCTCTACAGTAATGCAAAATATGTGGAATAAATACTGTTTCATCTTCCTTGGAAAATACCCGGAGAACCAAAAATTTAGTGTACATTTAGGAAGTTTTTGCCTTTATTATTATTTTGGGGGGAGGGGTTGGGGGGGCTGCTGTTGTCACCCACAGAAGGTTCCCTGATTCAGCACATTGACAATACTTGTGTTCTGCTGGCAAGGCAACATTTATCTCAGTGATACATTTGTTCCAATATTTTTTTTAGACAGGAGCGTTGCTATGCCACTTTTGTATACTCAGTAGCCTTCTTGTGCCATAAAATTGGCATGCAAAAGGTAAAGTGAAAGCAAAGACTTGGCCCCACTGTAGCCTGATGCTGTATCTGCAGATTTACTCAAATCAAAATGATTTTGGTTTTACAAACTGGTCTTGCCATTTCTCAAAGCATTTTTTTATGCAACCATATCTTGACAGAAACTAAGCAAAAGCTTTCTCCCTTTTAGGGAAGTAAGATTGATTTGATCAGGGGGAACATTAATTTCTTTTGTTAGGGGGTGCTGCTGCTGAGTTGATGATGTGGTGGGATACGAAAAAAATTCCAGATTTAAAATCTCCGCAGTTTGGCATCTCTATAGTATGCCTCCCCCCACCCTTACAACTAAGAGGAAAAGTGTACTGTTTTGTATACCCTGGGTATTGTCGGCTCTGTTGCACTCAGCAGATGAATTTGCGTGTGTCAAAGGCAGATATATTAAGCAGAAGACACCACTAAGATAAAATGCCCCCACACAGCCTTAGAAATTTTGCATTTAATATTACTTGTGACTTGACTACACATTAATTATGAATTAAGGTGTCTTCCATGGTCCAAAGAACAGATAATCTGTTTGCTGTAAATTTCACTTTTGATAGTAAAACTTTTGTTATCTCTTTTTACAAATCTTTGGGCTGAAGTTGCCAATTAATTCAGACCACGTCTTGAATGATTTAATCGTGGCATCAGATTTATCTGAAGCAATCTTTTTTGGTGTGCATTTCAAAAGGAGAATGACCAGAATTTTTGTTTCATCTGTTGAAAGTGATTATTTGGGTTTAGTTTTTAATTGAAGCACAAAGATGACATCTTTTTGTCTTTCCTTTAGCATACTTATAAATTAGGATGGAAATCATTTGTGGTGTTTTTTTCGAGTTTGACAATTTATTTGATAGTTCAATTTAGAGTTTGGAGAAACCACTAAGCAATAAAGAAATAAAGGGTAAAAAGACATAAGCAAGGTGCACATCAAAACTTCAAATTATTGTCCATAAAAAGAATGCAAAAACAGTTAAATGGATTCATTTGAAAGATGCATAGCAATAAAATAACTTTTTGACGATTTAGCACATGATGTAATTAATTATTTCTCACAATTTTAATTGCTTGCCTAAGAAAACTTTGTCCTAGATAAAATTACAATGAAACATAACATATTGGGCAAACAGACCAACAATTTCTTTAATTCAATTTATTCCACAATTACTGGCAATGCAAAAACAGAAAAGCTCTAATTAACAAGCTTTTTTTTACTATAAACCCAATAATCCTTTTAATTTCATTGTTCAATGAAAGCAATTTAGTTATAAGGTAGTATATGTATTCACAACTTCTAAAAAAAAACAACAAATACAAATGTAAATTGAACCTTACTAGGTAAAACAAAAGTATATTTTTATATCATTTTTTGGCTAGGTCACACTACTATTAATTTCATTCATGTACAGAGTCCAACTTTACATCAAGTCTATGAATGGAGTAAAATCCTCCATTTTTTCATAAACTGTCATTGTTTTGGTTACAATGTATAGAAAAAACATAAATCAGTTTCTTGTACCCCAAAGCCTCAAATATCCAAAAATGAACTTCAACTGGAACCTGCATTTTGATACACAAGTAAAAATTGTATGCTTCATCAGAATAACTTAGAAAAAGTACTGATTCCAATTTCTGAGAAACATTGTGAATTGACAGATTTAAATTTATAGGATAACTAAATCCTGAACAGTGTAATATATTAAAGAAAAATAACATCCTTTTAAGACCTGACCTTTCTAGGAGTGATAATAACCCACTACAGCAGTTTCTTTGCTTCCTCAATGAGATCACTGTTAACTGGAAACTTCAGTTTTCTTGGGGGGCCCTTCTTTATACCAGTCCAAAGCAGTAACTCTAAAATGGAAATAACAATAACATTTAACAATAACATTTATTATTTGTATTGCACCTTTTCTATAAAATATTCAAAAGCACATCACAACAGTAATTAATAACTAAAATTATACAATTCTTTCTAAAAAAATCATAAATTATATACATTTATTTACATTAAAATAATGAATGACAATTACAAATAAAAATATAGATATACTAAGATAACTGAAATGATTCCTTAAATAAAAATGTCTTAAGTAAAGTCTTAAAAGATTCTAAGTTTGTTGCTTCGCGTGCCGACCTTGGCAGCTTATTCCATAGGAAAGGAGCAGCTACCAGAAAAGCTTAGTCATCCAATGTTTTCTTAGTTTTCACACTTGGTCTTTCCAGCAAATGACCATTATCATTGCGCGTCAAATGGTAGGACGAAGGCCATTGAATACTAATTAAATCTGAAAGGTACTTAGGTGATAGGCCATGCATAATTTTAAAAGTTATCAAGAGTACCTTATAATGTATCCTGAAGCGCACTGGTAACCAATGTAGTTCAGCGAGTAGAGGTGTAATATGACAGAACTTGTGCACACGATATATAAGTCTCACACTCGCATTCATAACACGTTGCAATTTCATAATTTGATATTCTGGGATTCCGTACAAAAGGCTATTACAATAATCCAGTCTACTACTAATAAAAGCATGAACTAATTTCTCAGTAGATTCCCTGGATAAATATTTCCTTATATGACGTATATTGTAAAAATAATAGAAAGCACTGCTATAAGTCTTTGTAATGTGAGCCCCCATATCCAGATGCGTATCGAACCATGTGCCTAGATTGCGCATGCACGCAGAGGCTACAGGAGAGACTTCAGTCTGCCCAATCTTGATGCTTTGGATTGAAACTTTTGAGAGCTGCTGATGTGTACCTATAATCAGGAACTTAGTCTTGTCATCATTGAGCAGCAGCTGATCCTCCCTCAGCCATGCTTGGACATCGCAGATGCACTTTTGCATGGCTGATACAGCATCGACTTCACTGGAAGAGTCGGAGGGCTTAAATGACAAATACAACTGTGTATTGTCAGCATAAGTATGGACGGAGGGCAGATGCTGTTTAAGAATCTGGAACAGCTTACTCACATAGATGGTAAATAAAAGCAGGCCAAGGCACAACCCTTGAGGAACTCCACAATTCAGATTAAAAGGGTTTGACAGAGTTCCGTTGATAGACACTTGCTGTGATCTGCCCTTATGGTAACTATCAAACCATGAAAGTACTTTCCCCCGCAATCCAATTGTTGACCTCAATCGTTCCAAAAGGATCTCATGATCAACGGTGTCGAATGCAAAGCTTAGGCCGAGAAGCACCAGCGGTGTAACTTGACCTTTATCCATCGCCATTAGGAGATCATTCTTCACCTTAAGTAGTGCGGTTTCCATGCTATGATGTTGGCGGTAAGCACTTTGCAACTCTGGAAACAAACCATTGACCAACATGTGCTCTTGTAGGTGAACAGCAACCACTTTCTCTGTGAGTTTGGACATGAACTGTAAATTACTCACAGGCCGAAAGTTCTTGTTTATCAATTGAAGACCAGATTTTTTTAGCAAAGGATGCACTACTGCCCTTTTCCTGTCATCTGCAAAGTAGCCTTTCTCCAGTGATGTGTTCACCATCCTACTAATCACTAGAAGCAACTCCTCTATGCAACCCCAACAAGATCAATGAAGGAAGAGGGCCCAGAGTACGTGTCTTCATAGAAGCCACAGCCAACTTCCTTACAGCCTCTTCAGAGAGAGTCTGAAACTCTGATAACATGACAAGGTCATCACTACTCGATCCATGAGGCACTTGCACAGTAACCCTGGGAGAGACAGTTTCACCAGCTAGCTTTGATCTAATAGCCACTATTTTATGGATGAAGTATTCACCAATCTCATTTGCAAGAACAGAGGCATCAGTGTGAGGTGGCAGAGACTTGTCCGCTTGCAGATTTAGTAGGCTCTTGCTAGCCCAGAACAGCTTTGATTGGTCAGAACTGTTCTTGTCAATGAATTCCTTGTAATAAGTAGATCTAGCTTCATTCATCAAGAGTGTGACATAATTATGCTTTGCTTTAAATACTACAAGATCTGCTTGGAGACCACTTGCCCTCCATCCTCTCTCGGCCTTCCTCCTGTCCGTACGAGCCTGAATTATATCTTTATTGAACCACGGGGGCCTGGGTCGAGTGAAGACATGACGAGAACAAACGGGCGCGTCAGCATCCAATAGTGATCTTAAAGTGGTGTTAGAACAGTCGACCAGCATGTACAAATCATTAGGCGGGTCTAGATATGGCTGAGAATTGCCGATAACTTCTTTCAGTTTTGCTATATCAATTGATCTGAGTTTCCTGTATTCAGCATGTTTGATTCTTAGCGGAGGCTTCACCACACTTAGTTTACATATCACAGTAGCGTGGTCAGAGAAATAACTCCCAGGAAGGGGCTCACCCTCCACAATATCGTCACCCTGCCGTGTGATAATTAAGTCTAATTTGTGGCCATGTATGTGCGTGGGTCGTTTGACATGCTGTACCAGACCCATAGAGTTCAACAGGTCCTTGAACTGGATGGTGTCAGCGTCTGAAGGGACGTCCACATGAATATTAAAATCACCACATATTAACAGTAATTCATGACACATTACTAACGACTCGAGATAGACTGAGAATTCATGAAAGAAAACACTTGTAGTCACAGGATGCTCCACAGAGTATGTTGGCCTATACAGGATGACAACACGCAGACGAACAGATCCGAACACCACACGCCATTCCGACACTTCAAATGAAGATCGCTCGGCTGAAAACACTTTGTTTACATCTAGACCGTTCTGATATAACAGCAAGCGCAGTCCCGCCACCCCTACGATCAGCACGAGGACAGTGGTCGAGTTTCGAATAACTGGGAAGAGTGAGCTCACTTAGAATCGCAGAGTCAAGATCATGGAGCCAGGACTTGCATATCATAAACAACTCAGCCCTCGAATCACATACCAAGTCCACAAAAGCCGTAGATTTATTCTTAATGATCTTGCATTCAAACTGCACAACTGGAATGCCCTGTTGTCCTGTTGTTTAAGAAATGGTGGGTTGAAATGCTTTGTTATTGGCACTCTCTTACTGTATTAAGATTCAAGTAGTTCCTTGTTCTGGTGGACAATGGGATGCGATGATGTGTGACGGAACAATGAGCATGAATAGTTGATTGATCACCAGTGGGACCGGGATTTAGTTTAAATACCAGGTCGCCTTGGAGTAGTTTGCTTGATCTTGATATGAGATGCACAACATTCCCGGCTGTCACGGCAATGGGTAAAGAAGATCAGTGTGGCTTCTTGTTACTACACAGGATTTTCTACCAAAGTTTCAATGGTCTGAGCTCCTTCTTTTTTTAACTTAATGTGGACAATAACATCTTAATTTACATGATTCTTCTCTTTCTACTCTTCTTAATGAAAGATCCTATTACCGTCCCCCTTGGAAATGACACACTTTTCGTGTTTTGTTTTTCACCAACCTTCTCCATCTTCCTTTATGGCTGTTAATTCAAAACTCTTTGAACGTGGTTTTGTTTCATTTATAAGGACCTCAGCAGTTGGGAATACCTCCAGCAGATCTGAGGACAGCAGATTTGCATTCCTTTTATACACCTGTCAGGATTTACTGGAACAAATAGAAATAATACAGAAAGAAGTCTAACCTATTTACTCCTAGAAGTGATTAAAACATAACTTCTCCCTGTTATATCCCTGCATCATTCAGCAAACAGGTAATGAGAATACTCAAACTTATCAGGTAGAAGTTGATAATTTGATCCTGCACCAAATTCTCGTGCCTAATTTACAAGGAAATGTGAAGCAACTAAAATGGAGAATTAGCAATCAGATCTTGGGAGCTAGAGGGGGAAATACACAAATATGACTGGGGTCTTGCAGTATCTAACTACAACTGTGCCATTTGCTACGCTAATTCTGGTATTCTTTTCACTAAATCATACTCCACATAATGATTGATAAACAATTTGCGTCTTTTAAAAAAAGCACACAAATAAATCACAGGACTTAAAGCAGGAAATGGAAAACAATTGATTAATTATCCTCCTTGAAACTGGAAAGTGGAGTAAGGGGGGTTAACTGTTGGATGGGTCGAGTATCACGTGGGGGGGGGGAGGGTTCTGGTTTTCCCTGGGTAATGGTTGGGGAGAAAACACACCATCGAAAGGATACTCTGGTATACAACCTCATATTTGTTTCGGTTCAATAACGAATCCAAACATGCAATGTAAACACCGATCAAATTGCTCTGAGTTTGAGAAACCTTCTGAACATACCAATGCTCGATCTTGAAAGTCAAGCTCTTGGACGAGTCTTTCTTCTTTTTCACTGCACCATCTCCATCAGAAGATACTTCTTGCTTGACATCTGCCGCTTCGTCTTTTCCAGGATCAGAATTATCTTCCTGTTTACGCTTGCGCCCACGCGGCGGCATATTGCATAACACCTCCGCCGTCAGATGACTGCGGCGCAATGAAAGGAAAATTGGCGCGAAAGATTAATCATTACGACAAAACAATACTTCCTATTGGTCACTTACTTATTTCGTTGTCTAAACCAATCAGTAGCTACGTTCTATAAACATTCCCTTGTGAAGCCGCTGTTCAGAACAATTGGTGTAGGCAACATGGCGGATAAAGATATAGGTAAAAGAGTGATCTGCGAGGGATTTCGCGGCGAAATAAAATACGTTGGGGCAGTTCCTCCTACCTCAGGTAAGTTGATAGCTTATTTCAACATATGGATCAAATATGAGATAAAAGAATGCCCATATGCACGCCAAATCCACCGACAGCTTTCAGAGAGAGACCGAACATAATTTCAGTGCTTGTTTAATGACATAACTAGTCTAATTAAAGTCTTCATGAATGTTAAACAGGTGGAAATGATGCAGTGATGAAATGATTAGGCAACTGCAGAATACCCTGCCAATCATTTACATGTCATTGAATAAGAATAGCCTCTATTGTGTTTGCTTCGTTCTTCACAATAGAGGCTATTCTTATTCAATATGTAAACGATTGGCAGGGTATTCTGTAGTTAAACCTTTTAGGAGCCTGATTAAAAAAATTCCAACAACCCCATTTTTTCTCTAAAAAAAAGGAAATGGAATTTAATGATGGACATTCCACTAGATGGCCCCTTTGTCCACTGTTTCCAGATCAAATTAGAATTTTGGTTGTTGGGACTCAAAGAAAAACCCCCAGATCTAGGACAAGAACCAAAAACAAACTCAACCTACATGCGACACCAAGAGTGGGAAGTAAACTCAAGCACTTTCTCTCCCAGTGAATAGTTATTCATTAGGTGTTTCCACAACAGTTGAGTTTAACCCTTAAACTCCCAGAGGTGATTAACATGTAACTTCTCCCTATAATATTCATATATTATCCAGCAAACAGGTGATGAGAATATTCAAACTTATCAGCTAGAAGTTGTTATCTTGATGTAACACCAAATTCTTGTAACTAACATACAAGGAAATGTGTAGCAGCCAGAGGGGAGAATTAACAATCAGATCTTGGAAGTTCAAGGGTTAAGGAAGAGCTAAAGTTAGAAAGAATGTTAAGCATTCATGAAGCATGAGAGCACCAAAAAGTGGATCAGCGTCAGTATCCAAGGAACTGTGCACCCCCCTCCCCTAAACTAACAACAGTCAACCGATGACAAGTTAGGGTTTATGTTTAGTAAGGAGAGGGGTAGACACACAGCTACTCAGATAATGAAAACTTGTGGTGGTCTCCCATCAAGAAGGCAAATTTTACCTAAAGGACAATCGGGGTTTAAGATAAAAACTTTTGCATGTTTTATATTACTGTGCAAACCGGCTGCTTTGCTTGTGAGTAGCGGAAAACTAACACTGACTCTGATTCCTTGTTTTTTAACTAGTCTTATAGTCTGTGAAAAATGCTATGTGGTTTAGGTGTAGTCATTTATTTAGTTGTTCCAAAGACAGAGTTAATAATAGATAATCAAATCATGGAATTCATGACATTTGTTAGGTGAGTGGTACGGTATTGAGTGGGATGATCCTGACAGAGGCAAACATGATGGAACCCATGAAGGGGTGAAATATTTCGAATGCAGGTAATGTTCGATGTTCACTCCAGAACCTTGAGCTTAAAGGCTACAACATCTCCATGCGACAGAGTGGTTGTAGCCTGCCACAGAGTAGTTTAATCTCAAGGAAGTGTAGCAATACTTAGTCGTTGAAATTTGGAAGACATAGTGAAACAGTTATATGGTACAAAAGTTACACAATTTACTATATAAAGGAATAATAAGTTTAAACATTTGCTAGCTACATAGTCAAGACTTAAATAATGAACATTAAACATGCAAAGAATCCAGCACAAAAAAAATGTCACACTTAGAACTTACACATGGCCATACTTAAAGAAGACAAAATTTAATTCTAAGCTTATTGAGTCGATATATTATGGCTATTTGATTTTAAGCAGCACCACCTATGACTGAACAGGCCCATGCATCAATGGTAATCGCTGTGTCACAAGTTGCATTTGTGGTCAGCTTCTCTTCGCCTGCCCTGATCAATCTTGCTTTTCAACATATGATTACAGGTATCCAAAGAGTGGCTCCTTTGTAAGACCAAAGAAAGTTTACTTTGGTATCAGCATCATTGATGCTCTAAAAGAACAGTATGGACTGGGTGGGGATGGAATCAACCCAGAGGACATGTATGTGATGAGTGGTAAGAACAAGAAAAAGCCTGTAGAGATGGTTGGTACAGATTCTATTCAAGAAAAACAAAGGTACTTGTTGTTACTTGGGGAAGACGGGGTCTGTCTGACCTGTGGAAAAGTTACCATGGTATCATTTTCTAGGCCTGGAAAGTCATGGAGTGTGGCCAAGGAATGTCTAGGAGATGAAGGAAAATTATTTTTGAATAAGAAAAAGCTTGCTTGAATGTCCAGTTTTGGTTCCCTTTGAAACCAATTTCAATCACAGACAATAGGAAGAATTAAGAAGTATAGCTCTTTTGAAGATCATATGATATGAATAAGTTTTTCTATGTGGAAAAGAGTTTTTACTCCCTATTCTACTGGAAACACAATTCCTGTATAAAGCTTCTGGACTACAGTTTATTTCTTTTAACCACTTTTATATTCATGTATTTCAAGGTAAACCATTCATAATATACAAGACCAATTCTACAATACCAATTCTTCTTCCATAGCATTTGTCAATTAACTCTCAAACTCCCAAGATCTGATTGTTACTTCTGCTCTCTAGCTGTTACACATTTCCTTGTAAATTAGTTCTGAGAATTTTATGTTCAATCAAGTTATCAACTTCTACTTGATAAGTCCAAGTATTCTCATTACCTGTTTACTGGATAATGTATGGATATTATTAGAAGAAGTTACATGTTAGTCATTTACCAGTAATATGGAATTTAAAGGGTTAAACTGCAAGTATTGATCCTCCCATATTACAACAATTTATTAATGTCAATAAATTGTGATTAAATCTTCAGCAACTATAAGGAACTAACAGTGGTTAGTCTACGAGGAATGGCAGTCAGTGGACCAGATAAAGAAAGGGAATTTTACACAGTGGCACCACGTATCCTGAATGTAATAAATGAATAGCAAAACTACCCACTTTAAACAATAAAGCCAGCTGCCCCTTTTTTTAAAATGAGGGTATTTATGAGTATATTTTTTTTTCACTCAAATGCCATGGAAAGTTATCCTAAATTACCTAAATTGCTCTTAACTTGATTCAGTTGTATCTGAGCTTGACCTGTCTAGCACTCTTTTATCATCATGGAATGATGTCGCTTCAGTAACAAGAAACTTACATCAACTCCAGACACTTCATCTTAAGTAAGTTATTTTGGTTAGGATTATACTCAACTCTCTCTCTCTCTCTCTCTCTCTCCCTGTCTCTTAAGATGTGAATGTTAACTCTCCACATTGTCTGCCATACTTTTCTTACAATTTAAGCACTGAGAATTTGGAGTGAAATCAAACAATATCTCCCAGTTGGTATTTGACTTTCTTCTGGTCACCTCTCTTCTCAACTCGTTAATTGCCATTAGCTATCAGTGATGAGAATAAAGAAAAAAAAATCAAGTAGAGGATTGTTTTTTGATCCACTAGCAAATTCTTCAAACTAACATCGTAAGAATCATATGACAGACAGTAACGATAATTCCTTAAATGAGATCTTGGGATTGAAAGGGTTCCACTTTAATATTCCAACTTGTTCACTTGTGGGAGTATAGGCTTAATTACCTGGGAACTGCCATGGCTGGCCTTGTTCACCATGGAGTCTCTGTGGCTTACTGGGAGAGCATCAAAGTGCGCAGTTGGAAGGTCTGAAGTTGGATTCATCTTGGGGAATCGGACTTTTTTCTTTGTCCCATGCTCTTGACAAGATGAAAAACATCTTCCTTTATTTCTTCACCAATCTCAAAATTTACCATCTTTGTTGTTCTTTTTGCAAATAAGCATTTGGGTCTAGTTTAGTTTTAATTTTTTATGAGACTTGCTTTGTCTCAAAGCAACCATAAATTATGCTTAAAAGTAAACATAACTTGGAGTCAGCTCACTGTTATGGAGAAGATACATGTTCTTCTTGTTACTAATTAAACTGCTACGTATTTTATGAGATTTGATATGGTTTTACTAACTTAGAGTGGCCTCTGCCTGATACACCTTTTAATTAGAGGAAATAGCATCACATTGAAAGTAGTAATCTTGTGATGGATTTTAAAACCTTGATACTTAGTTGTACTTTAAGTCATGGGATGAATTCTCAAGGTGTTGAATATATTTTTTTTTCATTAAAGATGCTTTCATTGGTAATGTCTGAATGAATGAAGGTAAAAACATAAGATAACTGTTTTTTTATTTTTATATCAACACATGTTGGCTTGTTGTTTCATTTTTAAGTGAAAATTTCTTGAAATTACCTCAAGACCCAAAACAGCTGATGCCATCATTTAGCACAGTGTCAGTCATGTTTCTCAACAGAATGAGGCTTCAATGGAATGAGGTGGGGGAAAGATATTGAATAACTAAGAGTACCCATTATAATAGTACAGTTATTGAGGAATAAAACAGTTCCAGTTCAACCTTTTATGGCCAAATGAAAATGAATTCAAAAATGCATTCAATATGCAGAACTGAAAGAACTGACAGAAATATACTATTTACTGTTGTGATTGCTAATGCATAGCATCTTTATTTTTTACAACCATTCCCTACTGCATTTATCAATTAGTGTAGTCGAGACATGTAAGCTGTGTAAAGGAACTAAAGCTTTCATAATTTGATTAAGAAATTTAGTGTTACAGGTACAGTTGCTTCAATATATATATTTTTTAAATTTCAACTTTTACTAATTGTAAGTCTAAAGTTAAGTTGAGGAAAAACAAAATCTTTGACAAGGAATCCTAGCTTAAAAACATTCTTCCAGCCATTGTTGTGAGCCTCATTCTAGTAGTTATTTTTGCATAGTATTTTGAAATATAGTCTCGTCTTGATTGTTGTTTTATTGTCTTATTATCCATTGTAGGTAGAGGTTATTGTAAGCATGATGCCCTCGCTCACAGAGCTTCATATTTGTCACAACTGCTTGAACAGTCTCAGGTAAATTGTGGAAGGTTTTTTAAAATGTATTTTCTCATCTGATGAACTAAGGTTTTGTGATGGTAGAGCACTGAATCTTAGATTGACACAACTGCTTTGGTTTACTTTTCTGTCAGCTGGAAGCTTCTCAGAACCAGAAATTTGAGAAAGTATTGTGGCTCGAAGACAGTACGGTAGACAGCGACAGTTGTTCCTTTTCTCTACTGTTTTAGTTTTTATTGTCATCTGTTCCAGTTAGGTTTTTAGAGAACTTGTTACTGCCTTAGATTTAAGCTTTCAGAAAGAATTTTTTCCGCTTGAAACAATACACGTTATTCTTCCCAGGCATCAAAACAGACCAATCATTATTGATGAATTCAATTTGAGGCTTACAGTTGACAACTTCTTGGCTAAAATGACCGATCAGTTTTCACTTCTTTAAGACTTGTAACATTCAACTGTCAAACATTATTATGGAATATGAAATTATGTTATTCAGACTGGACATGATTGATTTAACCAGAAAACACTTTTGCAGGGAAAATAATGGCCAACTGACTCAGCTACGAGCACTCGGGAATATAGAACTTCTTAACTTAGAGGGAAACAAGCTATCAGATTGGAAATCAATTCTGAGACTAGGGCATTTACTACCAAGGTAATAATCTAAAAAATTATCCAAGGCACACACTTGTAAATTTACCCCCTCCAATCGGTAAATATATTATGTTTTCCAGTTAGCCATTTACAATGATGTGGGTTTTGTTATGAGCACGACTACAAGTTTTAATTAAATGATCAAAATGTTTCTTTTTTTTTCCAGACTGAAATGTCTTATTTTAAATGACAATGGCATAAAGAGTGTTGAATTGGGAAACAAAGTCCAAGGTTGGTCTGACAAAATTTATAGTGTGTCAGGAACCTTGAAATGTTGTGATGTTTGTTATGTTTTCCTTAAAATTTAGTAAAGTTAAAGAAACATATTTCATTGATTCGTTTTTTGTGTAGACAGCACAGATGGTATTCCTCTATTCCCATCTTTAGAGTCTCTCTCCCTTAGCAACAACGCAATAACTAAGGTGAGATTTTTGTTTCAGTGGAGTTTTTGACACAGTTGAAGACAATATTGAAAGGTTAAGTCAATGTTTGACATACACTTTTTACAGTCAAACCAAGTGAAGCGTACCTCTCAAGATTACATTAATGAATTGAACAACGTTTCATTTTGTAGTTAGAAACGAACGAAAGATTACTCAACTTAATTGCCTGTTTACAGTCTGTAAGTCTGACCTTTCAAGTATTTGTTTCTTCGGGCGACATGACTCAGGTTTCGGGCGACATGACTCAGGTTTCGGGCGACATGACTCAGGTTTCGGGCGACATGACTCAGGTTTCGGGCGACACGACCTCGGGCGAGATGACTCTCGGCTGACTTGACCGTAAACCATAATGTTGGATAAAAGATACTATGGTTAACGAATCCTATCAAACTCCTCCTGCGCCAATATTACTTTACATTGGGTTTTGCCTAGCCTCTTACGTAGAGACGGGACCAATAAAATTGTACTTTTTTCAGTTATAAAATACCTCATTTCTCTTGATTAACAATTATGTCAAATTTCAGATTCAAAGTATAAACGAGTTAAACCGCCTTCCGTCACTGACTGGTTTACGCTTCAAAGGGAATCCTCTCTTTCAGGGTAAGAATTAAAGAGAGCTGCTTTAGCCACATCTTTGACATTTTTTGAGCGACAATTTACAAAAAACGTTTTGCTCTTTCAGATGAAACTACATTTGAAAGTCGTCAAGAACTACTGGCTCGCGTTCCCTCATTAACATCCCTTAATGGAAGCCTGGTTAGTTTCTCAGAAATTTCAGTTTTAGTCTCAAGTCATTCAATTTTAGTCATTTTATCTTAAGTACATGAAAAAAGCAAATTCGAACAAATGTGAGTGTAACCACTTGTCGTATTTTGTTCTGTTGTTTCCGCGTTTATTTTTGTGGAATTTATAACGTTCTGAGGTGGAAATAAGAGCGCTAAATCCATGGATACGGTTGTAGGTAGGCGCGGGTGTCACTGATGCAAGCGCGGAAAAATTATCGTGTGAGCTTGTACCTCATTGGCTAAATAGAGAGTGCTCACGTTGTGATTGGTTGCAGCTTGTGGCAAGCGCGTAGAGAAGCGTTTTTCATCGTTCAAGCTGTATAGTGGCCGTTCTATTTTTTCCTTAAAGTGCTGCTTTTTTCAATCATGCTTTAGGTGAATTCTAAAGAAAAAGAGATAGCAGAGCGAGCGTACTTAAAGAAATACGCCACCTCATGGGTTAACGCTGGTGGAAATCCTGGGGTAGGAGAGAAAAGTGATCTAAACCCTGAATTTATCGAAGCTCACCCCAGATATGGAGAACTAGTCAAAGGTTTGTTTGCTGTGTACGATTCCTTAAAATTATCCTTGTTTCTACTTAAAAGTTTGTCACGATCATTCTTGCTTACAGTTAGAAACACTCACATAATTAGAGAATAAAAACCTCCAGATTTCAGAAGGGAACAAAGTGGTCGAATTGCTTCTCGATTATTTATTTTTTCTCATAAAAATAAAAAACAAGGAAATCTTGTAATAACGATAGGCTAAATTTAACTAAGACACATCGATGCTTATCGTATCAGACTTGTGAAGTCACACCTGAGCAAAACTATAGTAAGGAGTCTGGAATCTCTTGGAATTTTCACTTTTGATACTCTATGAGTGCTTTTCTCGTTTCTAATGATTGAAATTTTCTTTTTATTGCTTCAGTTCACGGTGTACCTTCTGAAGCTGAAAGAAACCATTCGTCGTCCAAGACTCTGAAAGACTCTCTAATTTGTATCCTTAACTTCTCCATCTTTAGGCCTCGCACGGATCAGGAAACTAAGAAAGTGGAGGAATTTTGTAAATTCAAGAGATTTTCTGAGCCTTTTGCCTGTAGAACATGGAAAGTCTTAAAAAATGACTGAAATTATTTCTTCTTAGAAATGCAAAACAAAAAAATGCCATCAGAGCATGATGTTTTCACATTATTTGGAAACCAGTCTCGAGACTTTTTTTTTTTTAAGTCCCGGAAAAAGTTAAGGAAACCTTTTAGGTTAGAAAGAGTATCAACCCTCATCGATCAGTTAGAGGTCTAAATTTCAGAGGTGCATTGGTCCATTTTTGTAAGTTGAATTTCTTAACGTGACTTTTGTAAAGCTGTGACAATTATATGCCCTGATGCCCCAGATAAAAAGTCTGTCACAAAGAAATTACCAGGTATGAGGCTATTTTCATGCACGATTCAGCTGCAAGCATTCCAGCGACAAGACATCTTTCTTAAGTACATCTGCTGTTGTTTTCGCTTTAGCCAATTTAATAATAATAATAATAATAATAATAATAAATAATATGATAAATGTTTGATTTAGCAGAAACGACTATCAAAACCGACGAGAGTCAATAAGCTTTTTTCTACTAGATATTATGAACAATATTACGAAGAGATGTAACTGAGTGTGCATAAACCGAAGTCGCTTTGGTTTTGATGAACTGTTTCTTACAAATCCATGTTAGACTCATTTGTTGCTTTTCAGAATGTTATAATAGATATAATAAGCATTTGATAGCCGTACAAGTTCAAGTTTTTTCGTCTTTTTTCAGGAACTATGACAATCGGGAAAGTCAAAGGATTACTTTATCGACTGTTCAAGGTGGACAGTTCTGATCAGAAGTTGTCTTCGTTAGACAGCAAAGTAAGTAGATGACAGGAATGTCTCCACTAGGACTTATATCAAAAGGGACCCGAAATGTAATTTTTTTCGAGTTAAGGGGTTTGTTTTCTTTTTTTTAGCTGGATCGGGAGGTGGAGTTAGATGATGACCTTCGACAACTTACGTTTTATTCTGTACAAAGTGGAGACACCATATATCTTCGGTGGTGATTATTACGCGATTACAAGTATCAGTTGAAAGTGACCGTTACGACCTCGACCAAAGAAAGTGCAGTTTTTTCGTTTTTTTGTTTTTTTTTTTGGTTTTTACCTTTTAGTGCTCTCCCCTACCCTTTGTCTTCCCGCCATCTTTGCCGGGAAGTAAAATCGGGCAAGTCTGTTCGCTGTTATTCTTAACTTATTAAGAACTTAAAACTAAGGCTGTGTGCTCGAAAGAGTTCTTCTCAGAGTACAATAATCTGCTTGTTAATTCAGTAGTAATTACTCAACACAGCAAGGTTTACTTATTAAGACAGTCAGTCAAGATGCAGTGCCGAAATGACGCTGCCTTGAAAAGCTAGTGAGGTGATTAAGTTATAGCAAAACGGCAGTTGGCTTTTACATGTTCTATGCCGTTTCACGTGGATGTCGTCCTTACATTATCTGGTCATGCGTATAAGGTCTGTTCAACTGCCAATGAATGGGCACCTAAATGTTCTTCTTTAAGAATTTAGTTGACATTGAGTGTTCTCCAACACCATTGTCCCTTTTGGATCTACTCCAACGCTGTTATCATCACGATGAACAAATAATAGATTATTTCATTCTAAATAAACGTTCCTGTATAGTCCGATGATCAAAGCGATTCCGTGCCTTTTCGCAAATAAATTATGTTCCCTCTGAACACTGCGCGTCGTTCCAAGACTAGCCTCCTTGGCTTGATCGCATAACAACGCAATTTTTGCCCGTGTCCTCGTCTGTTGGTCTGCAAAGTTCTCAGGGGACCCGCATCATCCCACTGGGTAAAAGAACCATTGTTGTAATCTCATTGATGTCCAAGCCATGTTTTCATTGAAGATGGTAGAACACTAGAACTGACAAAATCTTGTCTAGAACCAGATGGGTGCCAACCGATTGACACAGTTCGGGAGCGGTTTGCTTCTTCACCCTTGATGAAAAGTACTTGTAACAGGAACCAGAAATGTAGATCCAGCCATCGGTAAAGCCGGTTAGAGCGCCGGATTGTGTTGTGCGGGAGGTCGAGGATTTGAGCACCGGCCGGACCAGTACTCATGGTCTTAAAATAACTGAGGAGAATTTGCTACCTTTCTATAATATCAAGAAATGGATAGATAATCTGGTCATCTCGGATAAGGACAAATAAACCGTAGGCCCCGTCTCCTGCAGGGTTAGAGGTAGGAGACGTTAATTTCCCACGCACGAGATTACTGTGTGATGGATGTCCTCCCCTGGGGTGGGATGGGTGGGTGTTATCGTTTCACGGGGCCCCATTTAAACTAGCAATTTGCTAAACTGGGCTACCCCTGTATAAATATTCGTAAATACAATACAATAGTAAAGCCACAAGGCTCGGTTAACAAAGAGTGAAAGAGAGAGGTAACCAACTACCTTT